CCCCATGCGGATCCCTCTCCCTCCTCCTACCCTACAGAATGTCTCTCATCTATAGTTGCCGTTGATTTTGATGTTTACTTTATTATAGTTCCTTTTTTTTTCCTGATCCCTTATTTGGTTCCTCTGCATTAATGAAGCCCACTGGTGAAGCTTTTGAAGTAGGATATCTACCGCAGCTGGGCTGCATGTGGGACAGGCCGGGAAGGAGGAGGCAGTGTCCTCCACTGGTCCGCAGGGTGTTCTCTTGCCAGATGTGATACTTAACCAGTGTGGACCGTTCTCCTGTCTCCGAGTTGAGCGCATCAGCTGCCCTTTCTCCTGTGCCCTCTGCAGGAGGAATTAATTTGCACAGCACATCCCAGCCCCTCCTCGAGGGATGATTTTCTCTCATATAGCACCTGGAGTCCACCTCACCAGACCTCCCCTGCAGTCTGTGTCCAGAGCCACTACACCAGGAGAAAGCTTAGACGACCTGTAGTTTCTCTTCTGCGACCTCCTTTTATCCCACCTCACCCCCTCTCAATTTTACAGGCTTATCACAATTTCTGTGTGCTCAGCTGCTGATAGAAAACCTGGAAGGAATTTCAGCCCACTGAGTGGCGTGTGGGTGATGCTCCTGTGACTGACTAGAGCTTTGGGATTGGGTGGGGGCTAACTACTATTTTTAGCCCATGATCTCTCTTACAAAAGTTGGGGTACAGGCCAGAGGTGCGGGAGGTGAGAGGATTCACCAGAGACAGGGTGGGGAGCAGAACAGGCAGATGGACTGAAATACACTGCTGAGGGGAGCAGTGGGTGAATCAGCAGTCTGCTGCACCATGTGGGTATCTCCCTGGCCGGCCGGGGATCAAACTCATGCTGCAGAGGCTGTGGACAGCTTCACAGTGCTGTACTTAACCCCTTGCACTATCAGGGAGGCCCTGTCCTGTTTGTTCAGGTGAAAAAACACTGCAATATTTCCGTGTTTAGCTCCCCACTCCACAGTGCAACAAAGAAGTGCACTAAAGAGCAGGAAACTTTGCCTCCATCTGTCTCTTGCCCCAACTTCACTTCCCCCCCCCCACCCCGAATCACCTGCTTTCATTTACCCTCTAGTCTAAATGGCTGTTTGCTTCTGTTTGGTCCAGAGTTTATAGTTGTCTGCACAGGGTTTGCGCTGTTAGGAACTCACAACTCCTCACCAGAGGCATAATCTCTCCAGTGGGATTTGCATTTTCAACAGATAGCACCATTTCTCTGCCTCCGGCTGAGATATGAGTCTTGATTATTTGTCGGCAATTGCCTGCTTGCTGTTTGTCAAATTCAGGTAATTTCAGTAACTTTCAATCCTTGATGTTATACAGCTGCAAAATAAAACCACTCAAATGAAGTCAGCATGCTTAGGATCTAGTCCCAGCTTGATAATAATCAGCTACCAAAGTATTATTATATTAGCATCAGTATGTAATAATTATCCAAGTATTATCATTAGCCAGTTGTTGTTATAATTAACGAGTCGTGTCAATATTTAGCCTGTAGGATATGAGGGGCCTGGCCAGCCCCAAAGGTCCTTATATACTTATATCCTATAAGCTTCTAATCACCTAATACAAGTATCTTGAAATCTCAGTTCATTAATTCACTTCAAAGGATTCAAAGGATTAATGTCTTATATTTTGTGGGGAGAGGGTCTCCTACTACTGTGGTGTTAATAGTTCTACCCTTGTATATCTCAGCCGACCTTAAAATACCCCACCTCCACTTTCCTTCATGCCTCTGTTTTTCCTGCTCACAACTTATTTCATACAAAACCAATAACTGAAAACTGTATTTTAATACAACATCACATTTAAAATGCATTTTTGTTTGTCTCCTAGGAAAAAGTGCTGCAAAGGATATAAATTTGTTCTTGGACAATGCATCCCAGAAGGTAGGTAATATAAAAGATTATGTCTTCTCACTTTATTCATAACTAAACACTAGAAGTCTATAAAGTTCAGATGTGTTTGGAATGCATGTGAGTTATCTGTGTTTGATTATCTGTGTGTGTGTATATTATTTCTTTTTTTTTTTGGTGTTAAATTCATCTAATGCTTATTTGGTTACATGCCATATGCTCTAAATCATTACTCAGCTATACACATACATTGAGTGATTCATATACTACACATTTTATGCAAAATACGCTGTGGTTTCCTATTCGTTTAGCACATAGTTAGAACAACGACTTTCTTCCCCAACCTCTCTACCTCCTTTATGAGCTAACCTTGGAAACTTGCCCCGTGATCTTCAGCCAACACTGTGTTCAGGCCAGCACTGAAGAGACAGAGGGATATAAGACATGGACCCAGCCCCCAAGGACCATCCCCTCAAGTTGGGGACACACGATCCAGATAGGTGGAATCAGAGAGCTGCATTTTTTAAAAGATTTATTTATTTATGCATACAAGAGATGGGGTGTAGGCCAGAGGTGCGGGGGGTGAGAGGATTCACCAGAAACAGAGCAGGGAACAGAACAGGCAGACTGACCAAAATACACTGCTGAGGGGAGCAGCGGGTGAGACAGGAGAGGTCTGCCTCGCCATGTGGGTTTCTCCCTGGCTGGCGGGGATTGAACTCATGCTGCAGAAGCTGTGGATTGCTTCACAGTGTGGTGCTTAACCCCTTGTGCCACCAGGAAGGCCCAGAGTGCTGCATTTTAATAAAATTTCTGCAGTGTAGTAGTCTGTTCAGGTTGCTATCATGAAAAGACCGTAGGATGGGTGACAACATTTATTTCTCATGATTTTGAAGACTGGGAGTTTCAAAACCAAGGACCCAGACGACTCAATGTCTGGTGAGAGCTTCCTGGGTCATAGAGGGCTGTCTTGTGCAACTTCACGTGGTGGAGAGTTCCCTTTATAAGGACGCTAATCCCAGTTACGAGGGCTCCAACCTCATGACCTAATCACCTCCCAAAGGCTCCACCTTTCACATCATCACCTTGGGGGTTAGCCTTTCTGCATATGAATTTGAGGAGGACACAAAAGTGGTCTCCAGAAGGGGAGACTTCAGTTAGGTGACCAAGGAGGGCTACCAAGGACTTAGACAGGTAGGAGGCATGAGCTACAATGGATTCCAGGCTGAGCACTGACAGAGTAAACACTAAGAGCTGTTTGAAAAGCAAGAGACTAGTTTGCCCACGGCTGGGCTGTGAGAGGTGGTGAGTAATGTGCAGCCCAAGCAGCTAGGTCCCGCCAAGACCTGTAGCAGTAGAGAACAATTTTTTTTGTCAGTTGAAAATAAATAAATTCCTCCTCTTTATTGCTCTCTGATGGAAGGACAGAAAATTTCATTAAACCACAGCTGTGACCTTTGAGAACTGCTTTAGAAAAGTTGACCAGGAAATGGCTTTACATATGATGGTTTACGTGGCCTTGGGTCTCTCCAAGACTGAGTTTCTCACTGCAGGCCAATTCTGCTGGTTAAAGTATGGTGGAAAAAGCAAAAAAAGGTCAAAATAATTGTATTCCTTTATAAGCCAGCCTTCTCTGTCAATAGCTGTGTCCTTTATATTTCAGTTTGGCAGATACAGAAAGAAAAGTAAGTTTAGGCCCATCAACTTAAGATTCCAGCTAACAGCCTTGCCCAATCTAATTAAAAACATATTACATGGGATACCACATACTTAGAATGTCTTTAAATGTCAATGTTACGGTTTCCAATATCTAGGCCTAAAATTCACCCTAAAAGGACACTGGAGCACCTATTAGTAATATAACCTGGAACGGAGTGTTTCCAGAAAAGTGCTCTCAAGTGCTGACTCTTGCTTTGCCATAATGGACTCTGCTCATTGCTTTGCATTAGGATACTTGTTTTTTTTTTTAATATATATATATTTTTTTATAGAGGCATGTTTATTTCTTTCTTTGTTTTGTTTGTTTGTTCTGTTTACACATGCACTGGGTACAGTCAGAAGCGCGGGAGGGTGAGAGAATTCACCAGAGCCAGAGCGGGGAGCAGAGCAGGCAGAAGGACCGAAGTACACTGCTGAGGGGAGCAGCGGGCGGCAGGAGAGGTCTGCGCGCCATGTGAGACCCTCCTCAGGTGGCCGGGGAGCAGCCGGGGATCGAACCGGCGCCGCAGAGGCCGCGGGCAGCTTCGTAACCCAGCGCTCAACCGCTGCGCCACCGGGGAGGCCCATCATTAGGATACTTTTTAAAGTTTATTGTTTTAAAATGGGGATGAGGCGAAGTTTGTTTATTACAGAGATGTTACCAATCATAAATGTTTTTATTACTGAAGAATGCTAAGTATAAATGTAGGATTACAGAAAAGAGAGTGTACTAATCAGGGTTATCGGAGCTACATGGGGTAAAAAAGGGAAGGGGGAAGGAGAGGTTGATTGACTGATTTTAAGGATTTGTCCTATGAGTTTATAGAGGCAGACAAGTCTAAAATCTGCAGGGTGAGTCAGCAGGCTGGAGACCAGCAGTTTGAGTGCAAAAACAGGCTGCTGGCAAAACTCCCTCTTCCTCGATGGAGGTTAGTCTTTTTTTCTGTTAAGTCTTTCTCTGATTAGACGAGGCCCACCACCATTATGGAGGGAAGTCTGCTTTATGCAGTGTCTACAGGTTTAAATGCTAATATCATCTACAGACTACCTCCACAGAAACATCTGGAAGAATATTTGGCCAAATATCTGGGTTATGTGGCCTAGCCAAATTGGCACATAAAATTAACCATCACAGGGCCTCCCCGGTGGCACAGCGGTTGAGCATTGGGTTGCGAAGCTGCCCGCGGCCTCTGCAGCGCCGGTTCAATCCCCGGCAGCTCCCCTGCCACCGAAGGAGGGTCCCACATGGCGCACAGACCTCTCCTGCCGCCCGCTGCTCCCCTCAGCAGTGTATTTCGTCAGTCTGCCTGCTCTGTTCCCTGCTCTGGCTCTGGTGAATTCGCTCACCCTCCCGCGCTTCTGACTGTACCCAGTGCATGTATAAACAAAACAAACAAACAAATAAATAAAAAAAAAAATTAACCATCACAACTAGTAAAAAGAAACTAGAATTTCTAAACAAATATGCCAACTAATGAGTGGAAGCTGCCATTTAAGAGTGTTGTCTCAAAATTGTTGTTCTAGGTTGAGGGTTAGCAACCTAGGATTCTTTCAGAATCCTGCCTAGAGCAGGCCAGAGAACTTGGAGCAACTCCTCAGGATTAAATTGATAGAATGAGTGATGTGTCCAGGCATTTCAAGAGGACATTTAAAGGACACACAGAGCCCCTGAGGATGACTTGGATTGGGTTTGTAGGAAATGGAATAAGTAGGTCGGAATTAAGTTCAGAAATAGACCCCTCACCGTTTGCTGAATAGAATGTAATATGAAGAATTGCTAGCTGAAACTCAGGACTGACAAGGCTACAGGGAAGCAGCAAGTATCACAGAAGTAAGAACTGCAGCAAGTAGCCACCACCTTTAGGCCAAGAGAACTAAGAGAAGATGCAGAAAAAATGCAAACAGAAGCAGGCAGGAGGTACCATCAGGTGGGGACCCAGACCTATTAGGGGCTCTGCCAGCCGATGCTGTTTTGAAGAACTCCGAGGGAGTGACCCCCAGGCAGGGACCCCGACATTTAGAGTGGGAGCAACACACGCTGATGCTGGCCTCTCTGAAATGGAATGTAATGAGCCTGAATCGGCAAGTGTTGGGAAATGCAAACTGCATTTTGCTGCTGCTCTTGGAACAAACTACTGCTGACGGGATGAAGAAAGGGGTTGAGATGAGGCTTCGCAGAAGAGGCGCCTTCTTCCTCTTAGAGCCTCCTAGGGTGTATCTGTGCTTGCGTGTGTCTCTGTGTATGTGTCTTCCTGTCATGTCCCTTCTTTCTCACTAGATACCCTTAGTTGCACCTAGTAGGCCAGCAGCTGACAAAGTAGACATGTACTCTGGAGTTCCAGCCATAAAGTAGCCATACACTGAAGGAGGAATTGGAACAAAGAAAAAAAAATAACTGACACCCCAAAAAATACAAGATCATCATTTTAATTCCAGGGGAAACAGTGTCGTCAGGAAAGGCCAAGTGATTTGAGTCTGTGCCCAAGGTCAGCAAAGAATAGTGTTTATATTATAGTACAAACAGTCGAGATTTACTGCAGGAAACGTCTTTTATTTTTATAAATAAACCCAGATTAAGTGAAGGTACCACAGATTCCAGGTGGTGTGGTGCTGCCAGAATGAGCATGAGCTCGACTCACATAAACACGCGTGCATAACTTCATGCAAACACACAAAGTGAGATCCGCTCACAGACACAGACAGCAGGCGCCTAATACCAGCCCCTCCTTGGCTGGAGTCGTGGAGGATGTCCAGTCCGGCCAGGCTCTGGGAACAGGTAAGGAAAGGTGGTGACATGTGAAAACCAGCTCGGCAGACTGCATGGGGGTCTGGCCGGAGTTTCAGCATCACCGCATCAGCAACGTGGAGGGAACAGACATGGGGTTAAAAGCTGAATGCTTCTCATTCGTGGCTGGAAATCAGCAGGGAGGGCTGAGAATGAAAGAAGCAATGCAAATTGGCCGTTCAGAGGCACAGAGGTAGGTATGAAGAGGAGGTGCCTCCAGGGGCAGGCCTGGTAGAGTTGATGAGGGGAATTTTTTCAAATAAGCCATGCTGGGCACCACACCAGCATGAGAATTTGTGAGACCTCTCTGCCCTTTTTCCACTCTCTGGCAGCCGTGAGGGACGGTGGTCCTGGCCCAGCAGGGCAGTCTACTGCCTTCCGCAGCGAAAGCACACAGGGCCTTGATCCCTGGAGGTGAGGCTTCATCACCATGGGGCAGGGACGCTCACAGGGGACAGGCCTGGGGCTGTGCTGTGGGAGGAGCGTCCAGCCCCACAAGGACAGCACGGTCCTGCTCAAGGCTGCTGGGGCTGACAGCCCGCCTCTCCCTCCCGCCTTTGCGGCAGAGCTGAGCCAGCCTTGCTCCGGGTCCAGGGATCGTTTATCTGTCAGCACCTGCAGAAGATAGCACGGTGATTAATGAGATGCTGGATCTAGTCTGGAAGACTGTTCAGCCTGAGCTCCTCACTCAGAGCCAAATCTCTTCAGAGAGGGGCGGAGATGCCCTAATTCTTTATGAGTAACAGAGTAATCACCCCAATTTGCACAGGCTTAGGGCTAGAAGGAGGTCTCCAGCCATTCACCCTCACCCAGGCCCTTCTCGGATGCAACAGCACCCCTTCAGTACACAGGTACAGCACATGATCACACAGACGTCAGCTCTCTGATAACTCAATCCCATCTCCCGTCCAAGCCTCCCTCCCACTCCCCCAGGCCAGCCTCACTCCCAGCCCCCATGATCACGTTTTGACCCCTCACAAGGGCTGACGGTTCTTTAGTGCTCAGCTGGAAGCAGCCCCCCATCTCTGCAGTAATTGGGGGACCAGACAAAGCAGGCCTCCAGGTAATGCCCCAGAGCCCGGCCCCCTGAGGCCATCTTGCTCTCTGGATGAGTGGCAAAGACCAAGGCGGGTGGGGGTGACCCAGCAGACTCACAAGCGGTCTCTGCTTCTGACTGCAGTGGTGCCCATCGGTTCCCACTGTGGACCGCGGTCGTGCTGTACAGGCGTCTGTTCCAAGCCCAGCGGGCAACCCACCTCTGCCCTGGGAGTGGCTGTGGTTGATGGCGCTCCGCTGTGTTTTTCAGATTACGACGTGTGCGCCGAGGCCCCCTGCGAGCAGCAGTGCACGGATAACTTCGGCCGCGTGCTGTGCACCTGCTACCCCGGATACCGCTATGACCGGGAGAGGCACCGGAGGCGGGAGAAGCCCTACTGCCTGGGTGAGTTCCTGGCTCCACCGGAGGATGGGCCCCACACAGATAACTTGTCCTTTGCGGAACTTTCTTCAGCAGCTCTTTGGGTCTGCCTCCATCTGGGCCCCTCCCCCTACATCCTGATACCTGTCAGGGGAGTTGGGGTTGGTATGAGCCTTGGGCGGGACGAGGCAGGGCCTTCACCAGGATCATGAAAATTAGGGCCAAGGAATGATTCTTCCAGGACTTGGTGCTGGTCAGATCCGAGCTGGTGTGAGATGGGGAGCAGGGAAGGGTGGCAGGGACATGACCAAATGTAACCAGAACGGAGTCAAACAAAATATGCGTCAGCAGAGAAGTGGAGATGCAGAAAGGAACAAGGATATGTGCTGGGGAGGGACTAGGAAGAGGCAGTAGTGGTGTGGGAGGTGAGTCTGAGCTGCTGAGCCCCCGCCCCCAGCCCCGCCTGGGCCACAGCTGAGCACTGGCCTCTCTGCTTTGCCAGGCAGATGGATTCCCACCTCTGACCTACCGTCCCTGCGCTCCTTGAGTTTCTGAGGTAGGTGGTGGTCATTGACCACTGGAGCTGTGTGTCTTAAAGCGCGCTCAGCTCACGACTAACCTGCCTTACAAAGCTCTGGGGTTTTTTTTTAAAGGCCTCCTGGCCTCCCCTTCAGACTCTCAGACACATGCACAGTGAGGCTGGGAGTCAGCCGGAGGAGCCTGGCCGCCGGCCCACACGGACTGTAAGTGAGCCCAGCTGAGCAGCCCCAACTCGGCCTCCAGATCTCATAGTTAAAAGCTCTAGATACAGGCAGACCTTGGGGGCTGGACAGCTGGGTTTCTGGTTACTGCAAAAATGTATTGCCATAAAGGGAGTCACAGGACGTTTTGGGCTTCCCAGGGCATGTGGGAGCTCAGCATGCGCTCCACTGTAGTTGCTGGAGCAACCACTCATGTCTGTCTGAGAATGATGTGCACACCTGATTCCACGCTGAGCTCCTGCTGCTGGGAACATGGCACCAGTAGACTCCCCGAGGTCGGGTGGCCTCCAACCTGCAACTTGTAGGAACTGGCAGTAGCCGCAAAGCTCGACAAAACAAGGTCTGCCCGTGTTAGGTGCTGGCTTCTCCCCTGGGTGCCTGGGATCACAGGCCACAATGACCAAGAGTGGGACTGAGACCACTGAGCGCTCTGTAGGCACCCAGGGCTCCAGTGGAGAGCTTGGTAGCCACGGCATGCCGGGAGGCTGGGCCCTCATCCGGCGGGCGATAGCTCCTTGCTGCTCTCACCTGGAGATCAGGAAAACCAGCCTCTGCTAGAGCAGACTCTCTCCACTCCTCTCACAGGAGAGGCAGCTTCACCCTTTGGCTTAGGGCAGGGCCACAGGAGCAAGGTAATAGCCTGAGGGGTTGCAGAGGACCCTCCCCCCCCCCCCCATGACTTCTGGTCTGTAAGTGACATTGATCCCTGCAGCCCCTGGGCATGCTGAGGCCTGCAGGGTTGGTCCTGGGCAGCTTGTCCTAGCAGTGGCTGGGACACTGTAGCCAAAATGCAGAGCCGGGCCCTCTGCCCACCACATGTGCACGGTCTGGGCGGATTCCCAGCTCCAGCCCGCGGCCCTGGATGTCTCCTGGATGGGGGTCTCCTGTCTTCCCTGGTGGGGAACAGTTTTGTTTCCACCCCATTCATTCGCAAGTAAGCCTCCCCAGTTGCTTGTTTGATGGTATCACGAGTCATTTCCACTGCTCCTGAGGGGTCTGTTTGGGTCACCAATGAGGCAGAAACTTCCTGGGGAAAACTCTCCCCATTAGACCCAGTGTAACTGTTTTCTTTCATCAGAAGCAGCTTTTCCCAGGTACCCAGGAAGGAGCCATTCCCAGGTGACCTGGGGTCACATCATGCTCTTGGGAACCTGCAGCCATAAAGGGGAACGACCAAACCCTGGGCATGCCAGGGCCCTGGCAGGATGCCCCCTCTCTGATGCTTGCCTTCAGAGCGTGTTGACATTGGTTATTTCATCTCTCTTCCGAGGAGCCCTGTGAGGGCACAGGCTGGGTAGCAGGGCTCATAGGTGAGAGCTCCGACGACTAGCAGTGCCAACCCTGAGCCATGTGACGTGGTGACAGCAGAGCCCTAGCCCCTGATCGGGTGGTAACCATGGCAACCTGGATGGCCCATGCGCCCAGCTTCCTGCTGTATTCCAGGCTCCCCCCTGAGGTCTGGCAAAGTGTCCTCTATGGAGAGGACAGAAAGGCAGGCATGATGATGCCTGTTGGGTTGGAAGTGGCTTCCCTGAAACATTCTCTGCATTTGGTTGGCACCCAGATATTGACGAGTGCGCCACCAGCAATGAGACCTTGTGTGCACACATCTGCATCAACACCGTGGGCAGCTACCGCTGTGAGTGCCGGGAAGGCTACATCCAGGAGGACGACGGAAAGACATGCACCCGGGGAGACAAATACCCCAACGACACCGGTGAGCCCGGCAAGTCAAAACGTCCTCTAATTAGAAAGGTGCCTGCATGTGTGCACACATGTGCGCACACATGTACACACACATGCATGCACTCATGAGTTGGGGAGCCCACCAGGGCTCCTCAGGCAGCAGTGGGCAGGAAGGGGCACTTGTGTGAACGGCTGGTGAGATCTGTGTGAGAGAGAGGAGGCGCACACGGCCCAGCCCCTTCCCGGAGAGCCATGCCGTGAGCAGCCAGGGCGGCGAGCTGGCGCATGGAGGGGAACCTCGCTGGTGCAAGGCGGTGTGCTCCCGGTCACATCTGCAGAGCTGATGTCACATCTGCGGTCACATCTGCAGAGCTGTTTCATGCTTAGACCAAAGCAGGTTGAGCAGCGTGAGACACTGTCCGAAACACTGTCCCCACCGAGGAAACAGGCTGTGTGTGAACAGGAGACATTTCCATAGAAGGTAACATCAGGCATCAGAGCTGCTCAAAGCACAGTCTGCAGCCCCTTGTCCATCCATCTGTCCGGTCTGTGTCTGAACCGAACTTGGTTCAAGATTGGATCTAAACAGAAGTTGAGCATGTTTAGAAAGTTCTATGCCATTATGACCGAGAAAATGGGTTTACATCCAGAGACAGGTGCTTGCATGCCAGAGCCCATTTTTCTAGTAATTCATCCTTACTATATTTTACAAATTTAGGCCGCAATGAAGGGGGTAATTTTTCAGAGTCCGAGAAGCTGATTGGCATGCTATCAGTCAGATTCAACTGGACTATCGGCTCCTGGGATGTCATCCGCCTGGGTTCACGGGGATGTCATCAGCTGGGTTACTGATTTAGGATTGGAAGGGAAGAGAGGAACCAAGGACCCTGGTGTCCCACATCCAGCCCTTGCAGGCTGGGAGTCCCTGGCGTCCCCACCACCAGCAGCAGGGGTATTTGTCTCCCCGGTAGAGGGTTCAGCTCTACCTCCTGGGAGGGGTAGGGGCACTAGGTGAGCCTTGGGCCATTCCTGGGTGGGGCTGGGGGCTCTGAGGGCAAATCACAAGCACCAAGAAACATGGCAGATGAGAAGGCTTGAATTTTCTGGGTGCTCAGGAGCTGGTGATTCTGGGTGTAGCCTGAGATTCAAAAATGGGGGGAAGGTGGTTGCTCTCAGCTGAGGACAGTGCACAGCTGGGGACCAGCTGCCTCCCTAGGAAGAACTACAAAGTCAATTTCTGAGGAGCAACAGGGTGGGGTCCCAGGGAAGCCGCCACGTTTTAGAAGTCCATGCAATGTCTGCTGGCAGCGTGCCCGGCTGGAGTGGGCACTTCGGGACACGGCATGGGGGGCTTGCTGGTGCATTTCAAACCCCAAAGCACATTGTCCTGCCCACCCAGAATGTGCTGACAGCAGAGTGAATGGTCTTTTATGTTTCCTGGCATAAGAGTCAAGTAAGAAAAAATGTTTGCAGGCCACGTTTTTTTTTTTTAATGCAAAATTAAGATGACTTCATTTTTTACACTGTGGTGGAGAAGGCAGGGTAGGAGTGGGAGGTATAACTGATCCCTCAAAATCATGCTAAAAAATAGGGTGCAGGGACTTCCCTGGTGGAGCAAGGGGTTAAGCACCACATTATGAAGAAATTCGCAGCCCCTGCAGCACGAGTTCAATCCCCAGCCGTCCAGGGAGCAACCCACATGGCGCAGCAGACCTCTCCTGACTTGCCTGCTGCTCCCCTCAGCAGTGTACTTCAGTCATTCTGCCTGTTCTGTTCCGCACTCTGTCTCTGGTGAACCCTCTCACCCCCCGTATCTCTGGCCTGTACCCCAGCTCTTATATGCATAAATACATAAATCTTTAAAAAAAAATAGGGTGCAGCCTCTTAGCCACGGGGAGGTGAAGATGCCGACCAATTGAAAATTAGGAAAAAGAAGGGAACTTTCTCCATTTCCCTTTTGGAATTGCACTTTCAGCTACGCCCCACGCCAGATAGCCTGTTGCTATGGGCTACTCGGCCTGGCATGCCCCCGCCCCGTGCTGGCCATTCAGTCCCGTGAACTCTCATTGTCATGGGCACAAAGGGGCATTTTGAGCATCCCTGGACGTGGCCCTGCTCACCAGTAGCTCCCACCTGGCTGGTAGCCTCACCTGTCGAGGAGACCCGGCCTAGCAGAGGCCACACAATCAGGTATGATTTCCAGAGCCTGGGGTAAGCTTCCCTGTGCTGAACTTACTTGCTCTTCAGTGGTCTCCTTTGTGTTATTCATAGATTGCCCAACCAAATCCCATCTTGGTCCCCAAGGCCACCAGCACCCCCATACAGCGGCCTGCTGTATGTGTGGCTCCCTCGGGAGGGCTCTGAGGTAGGATGCGATGACAGGCAGCCCCAGTAGGGGGCGCTCGCTCCCGTTCTGCCCTGGGCATGTGGACCCCACCTTCTCTCAGGGCCTCTTTGCTATTTGCCATCTGTCCTGCTGAGATGGTGCTGGGACCCACTCCCATTTCCTTTCCTCCCCTAGGACATGAATTGGACTTCCTAAATTTTTTTAAACACACAAAAAATTTCAGTGCACAAGGTCAAGAATTTTATTTATTTTTTTAAAGGTATATCTTCATGGCTCCTCAGTTTGTCCATGTATTTTATCCTTTATGCCCATTTTGGGCTTCCCTGAGCAAGTCCAGAGCCTACTTAACTGCAAATTTGTCATAAAGATAAAAAAAGGATTTGATTTCAGCGATGACCACTTTGACTGCCAAGGCTGAGAACTCAGTACAAAGTCTGAGCATTTGTCATTATAAAGGGTATAAATTCACAACAGCTTTGCCTCTTCTCAAGTATTACTTTCATTTAAAGACTTTTTTTTTTTTAATTTCAATCATGCATTACAGATTCCCCTGCATTGTGTTCTGCAGAACTTTGGGGTCCTGTGATGGCCCAGAGAGATGGTGGGGGGGCTGCCAGTAACTCTTTCTTCAGAAGCTTCTGCATTTGGGGAAGAACACATTCCTGCACCCACTGCTAAGGAGTCAAGATGTGAGTGCATGAACAGCTCTGCAGGGGATTGTCATTTTAAAAAAATGTTAATTTTGATGAAGCCTGCACTTCCCCAAATCATTTTCTTAAGAAACATTTCATAGATGATGGTGTCCTGAAAAATCCAATTTGGAAAATTCTGACTTGTGCACTTCTGAGACCTGAGCCCTGGGCCTGAACTTGGTGGGTCAACTGGTCGACTTCCAGGCGCGCCTGTTGTCATCACCAGATGTAGCAGCCCCAGCCCAGAGGTTGCTGTCTGCCGCCAACGGCACAGCATCTGCTGAAGGAAAGCAGGACGCTACTCCTCTGTCCTGCCGTGTTCACGGAAAGTTTGTTCCTGTTTACATTGACCTCAGTGGGAACAGCCTCTCTATTAGCAATGCTTATATCATCAAGCTTCACTGTGACACAAAACTTGCTGCACAAATTCGTCCACATTTTGAATTCTCTCCTCCTCCTCCTCCCAGCTCCAAATTCTTTTTTATTTCCCCCAAAACTGAAATATCCCATTGCCTATTATACAGCACGCCCCTCCCCAGAAGCAGCGTTGGCCTCTGTTGGCCGCCTGTGCACGGAGGATGCAAACACTTATTTGGCGTCAGTGTTTTGCTAAGGAAAACATTCCAGTACCAGTAACCACGGACATCGGGGGAGAAGAGCTGAGTCCCTCCTGTTTGTAATTAAAGTGAGCAAGGATAGGCCCCTGGTATGCCCTGAACATTCAAATCAAACCGTCACAGGGGCCACGGAGACGGTGGCAGCCTGGCTTTGCTGGTGCTGCAATAAGATGCAACACCCGGATGTGTTCCTTGGACAGCTGCAATACCATGGAAAGTTCCCTGGCTGGGAAGTTGAGAGAGCTGCTTCCATGTAACCAGCTGAGACCTGGGGCAGTCTGTGGCTTGTGTCCCCCTCTGCAGAGCTTTGAAGACCCTTGACCATCTCAGATCTTTCCCACATCAGTCATGTCAGCCCCTGGCAGCCCCGTGAGTCCTCATTTCCTTGCCTTCCATCTCAGTGAGAGCCAAGACTCACAGTCATGCCAGTGTCCAGGCTTGGCCAGTGGGCTTTGCTGACCGCAGCTGGAAGGTGTACCATCTGCATCAGATACTCGGCTCAAGTACGGGCCCAGAGGAGCCACTGCATCTGGAATATCAGAGGCAGCTAAGCAGTTTCATCTGTTTGGGGCTAATTGATAAGCCCAGTATTTCATCACAGTCATTTTTTTTGATGAAGAGATAATGATTATTGACTGTAAGCACATGTGATCTAAGACCTCTCCCTCTTTTTTTTTTTTTCCTTCTTAATTTTAACTTTGCATCTCCAGTGTCTGTAACGTGTCAGGCAGAGGAATTTGAAGGCCAGCACAGCTGGCCTCTGATAGCCAAAAGGCCAAGGCACACGCAAGCTGGTGACATGCCATCTGGCTGATAGGCCACTTTGATTTTCTCTTTGAAAATCTGTAGCTGGAGCCAGTCGAGTCCTCCCAGCAAGTCGGAGCAGCCCCGATGGGGAGACAAATTAAGGACATGTTGGCTCCATAGTAATTAGCGTGCTGGTCTTTATTTTCAACTTTTGTTTATTTTCTGATAAAGTGACCGAGACCTCCAACATCACTTAATGATGGTTCAAAGTGTCAGGGCCAGCCGAGTGTTTCCTATAACTTTCAAGCTCCACTAATCCGTAGATCAATGGTTCTCAACCTGGGGACCTTTGAAAATGCTGATACTGGTCCCTGGCTGTGACCCCCAGGTGGTTGGGGTGCAGCTAGTCCTGTGGGGGTCTTAAAAGTCCCCCCAAGTGATTGTAGTAGACCTCCGGTGTTGAGAACTAGCACCAGGATATATATCTGCACAATCGACTTGTGTAAACGAACACACTCTGTTCATTTTGTGACACTGTAAAATATGTCAGGAACATTCTTTAGTTTTCTAAGTTTATTAGATATTACCAATATGGTATCTAAAGAATTCTATTTCCAATGCTTAGATGTGTGTCCTGCTCAACAGCAGTGAAAGTTAGAGCTACTCGCCCCCATGTGGCTACTCAATAATATTGCATCTTTAAAATCAGAACCAGCTAGAGAAAAAGTGTTAGGTAACAAGGTCACCGTCTCCGTGACAACTCCCCTTGGACAGTGGGTGACCAGAGGTGATAAAAGACCAGCTTCAGGGGCCTGCGCTGGAGTCACAGTGCCTGAGCTTGGGGGTCATTGACAGTGCACAAACATGGGCCTTTGAGGGGAGAATTAATCACGTCAGGTTGCTCGCTGGATCCCACCCCCCATATCGGGGTGAGCTGTCAGCATCCAGAGAACTGTAAAATCAGCAACTTCAGTCCCGCACACGTTCCTGTCCGCTGGAGTTCGGGTGCGGAACCTTCCCCCCACCCCCGGCCCCCCGCCTCAATTCTGCCTCTCCAGGGCTGGAGGTTTTCCAGCCTTCTGAGGGGTCTGAGCTCATCTCCTTTCCAAGGGCACGATGAGAAGTCTGAGAACGCGGTGAGAGCCGGGACCTGCTGTGCCACATGCAAGGAGTTCCACCAGATGAAGCAGACGGTGCTGCAGCTGAAGCAGAAGGTGCGTGCCCGCTGGTAGCCATGGCCGCTAGTAGCCACAGCCACTAGTAGCCACGGTCACTAGTAGCCACGGCCGTAAGTAGCCATGGCCTTTAGTAGCCATGGCCGCTAGTAGCCATGGTCAATAGTAGCTGCGGCTGATATTAGCCACCACCACATGCAGCACTTGGCAAGCTAGAGGGAAGGGCACTAGGAAACCATGAGAAAAGGAAATCGTGGCCAGCCTTCCATGGAGCATCCTCAGAGGTTGGTGCCAGCTGGGTCTGGATGTGGGTGCTTTGCTAGACTCCCTCAGCACCCCCAAAGGCCATGGAAGGCAGTGATGGTGTGGGTCAGGTGGGCGGCTGTTAGGTAGATCCGGGTCTGGGGCACATGGGGAAGCTATGGAGAGGATGCACCGGGGCTATTGGGACTTTATACAATAACCCCAAGATGCACAGCTTTGGAGAAGACTGTGTCTCTCTTATCTGAACTTTTGTCTATATTTTATCAAATAGAGAACATCCTTGCTATTAATTTCCATAAACTGGTGGTGAGTCAACTGTAGCACCTTTATCACATTGTAAACATCCAGCCTGTGCTCTGGGTGCCACTCATGTCGGGAAGCAATCATTGGGGTACCTCAAGGCACCCGCAGTGAAACTCTCTTTATAAAGGTCTCCACTCATGCCTGAAGGATCAGCTTTCTAGTGACGCGGTTCTGCTGTGAGTAATGCCCCGGGCTGGATCTGTGGTCTGATCTCTTGACCACCGTGGACCCAGATAGATGGTATTTGATGATACCTTAGGTCAAGCATCTTGGCTTGTCAGCAAATCAGAAATTATTCTCATGGTGATAAAACATACCCTCACTGGTGGGTTGGTTTAATCACTTCCGCTCAAGGCTGGCGTATACAATCTGTTTCACTGCGGCATCCAGTTAGTCCAGGGGGCAAAGGAATAACATGAGACTGCATTTTCCATGTTCACCAACGGCCTCTGCTGAGAACCGAAGCTGCCAGTGAAAGAGCAGATCAATAGGTGGAGAAAAAATGGCTTTTCGGGCCCCCTGGGTTGCTGGCAGCCACGCTCTCAACTTTAACAGAGGAATATATGGCGCTTGCATAATCATGATCCTTATCATGATAGTTTGTGATCTAATAGGGAGATGAGGCAGAAAGCTTCCAAGCATGTCAGTGGAAACAGAGATAAATAAATACCTCCCACGCAGACAGCCTCACTTGAACTTGGGCTGGTATTAGTACTTGTTGAGCAAACCCCCAATGAAGGTTCATGGAAGACACATGTCTGCCCTTCACAGACCAGGGCATTCAGGCTCGGGGAAAGCAGTTGAACCATGTCCCAAGACCTGAAGTTACCCCCAGTTATCTCCCACCCCCACATGGTTAATAGTTCAAGAGCTGGGGGGGGGGAGTCTTTCTAGCATGGACAACCTTTAGGATCTGTGCTGCTAAATCTCACAAGTTTTTCGGAAATGCAGTTACTAAGTGAGAGGCTGGCTCGCCTGTAACCTCCCTGCTGTGTTTGAAGCTCCATAAAAGCAGCTGGACACTTTGTGGTATACCTGTCACCTTGACAGGCCCCGCCACAGAGCTCCCCTCTTGCAGCATTGGGTTTGGTGGGGGTGGGGGTGGGGAGGGACTGTTTCGAGCAGTGTCTATGGCAGCAAGGAGATACAAGGGGCCAGTAAGCTCTGCCTTAAGTTAACTTACTGTCTTATCCGGGAAACCAAGCCAGCAGTGTGTGTCAACCACAAAGGGCAAATTAGGATTGCCACCAAAATCTAGTTTCCATATAATTGACCCCTTGTTCCCGATTTCCCAACCTCATCCCCCTTATTTTCTGGTAACTGCCACTTAGTATTTACAGTCTGCAAGTTTGTTTTTGTTTTGTTTTATCTCTTCACTTGCCACATAGGAGTGAGATCTTAATGGTGTTTGTCTTGCTCCATGTGGATGCATTTGTAAATCACCACCATCACTATAGCCGGGTTATTTGGAAGGTCAGCCCTGAGCATGCCAGGACCCATAGCCACATGCTTGCCCTGGCTCACAAGGCTGTGAGGTCTGAAAGGTCAGGTGACCAGGTCCTGCTCACTGTTATTTTGCCTTGGAAATCAGCACAGAGCTCCACAGAGGTTTGAGACATAAAGTAATTAACAAATTAGAAGTCTGAACCAGATAGCTAATTAACTGGGTAGTTATGATGATGATCAGTCCAGGTTTGCCCACTAACTAGCTGTGCGATGTCTGCAGGTCATGTCCACGAGGTCTGTGGGGTTAGAAGGGATTCCTCCGGTCCCTGTGAACTCCAGTTTGAAACAAGGGGAATAGTGTGAAAGACCTTGCGGCCTCCGCAGAGGACACAGATACAAAGGCCCTCCCCGGCAGGGGAACCATTGCTTCCTGTGCAGCATGTCCTCTTCTCTTTGCAGATCGCCCTGCTCCCCAACAGTGCTGCAGACCTGGGCAAGTATATCACCGGCGACAAGGTGCTGGCCTCCAATGCCTACCTGCCCGGACCCCCTGGCCTGCCTGGGGGCCAGGGTCCACCTGGTGAGTGTGCAGAAGGGCAGAGACGTGACAGTGACCAGCCCAGGCCTAGCTGAGGAGAGCTTAGGTTTGGTGGGGGTAGGTGAGAGCAGAGCTGGAGTCCAGGAGCCCTCACACCTGTGCAGGGAGAGCACCTCAGGACATGGGGTCCCCCAACCTGAGAAAGCCTCCTCACCTGCTGTCATTTGATGCAAAAATGTGATTGTCCTGGATTTAGATAAGATTCTTCAAGGTCATTTGAAGTTATAGAGAAACAAGAAGAAAATACCTTTTAATCTTAACATTTGCAAAGGTAGAATGGTCTCATGAACCCCTCTGGCCTTATCACCCAACCCTTTCTCTCACACCCGGGTCCCCAAACCTGTCTCTTCTTTCCCCTATTAGTTGTGAACTCATTACATTTCTCTTTATTTTAGGTATAAATATGAGGATGCACCTGTATATATGTTTTTCTTTATAAGTCACCTCTCTAGAGCCACACTTTGTTCCTAGTGAGTGACTTGCTGGCGGACCTTTGCTCTTCTGCCATCGGTTTTCTGACATGGTTTGAGCTGTCCAGGGTCCTTGGTGGAGCAGAACGTGATTAGCAACTAGTTTTGGCAAAACTGTGCCCTGGCTTTCTCCTCCAGTTTTGTTTCCTTCTCACTTCTTACTTTTCGAGCATCACAACTTACGATGCCAGCTACTGAGAGGCAGCTAAAGAGATCATAAGGATCCTTGTGGCCTTAAAGTAAGTCCAATGACAAGGCCTGTGACGAAGGACAGACTGGGTTTCCTATGTCATAGGAACTTATGCTGGGCTGAAACTCATCAGCCTTGGGATGGGGTGGGGGTGGCGAGAGAAGGAGGACAGCAACTCCGCAGTCCCCACTCCACATCACACCCCACATTTGAAAGGCACTTGATCCTTGACCTCTGAAGTTTATCGATTATACAAAGAGAGGTCAGATATGTCTCTAGCATCATGCTACTGGAGGTAAATGATTTAGTCTAGGAGGGATCTGACCTCCTGCCCAGATAAACTCTTGGACGATGTACCTGGAACCAGCATGGAGAGTAGGGGTGTGAGACCCTTGTGGCTGCAACTTTGGCTTGATGATTATCTGAGCTGGCGAAGACTCGCCCATGTGTAAAAAACCTGTGGTCTTGGCTTCTGTTTTCTGGACCTTCTGTTTTCTGTTTTTCTTCCACTCCACCACTGCTCTGTCAATAGTAGGGGTGAGGTGTGACCCCAGAGTAACAACTGTAGCATCTGAAAGGCTTTGCCGAGGAGTGATGGGGACACAGCAGTCCCGCCTCCTCACTGCAGGTGCAGAAACCTGCATTTTTATGTGAAATTTTTCAATTCAGGAAATTCAGAGGTTAATAGTACACATACACATGTTGTCGGTATGTGTGTATGCATGTGTACATGTTTGCATGTGTATACACACTCACACATGCATCTTTACATGTGTGTGCATTTGTTTAAAATGTGTATGTCAGTTGTCGCTTGCCCAGGTGTGGTGGGGGCTGCGGAGGGCCTGACAGTTACAGGTGACCTCAGAGAGTGAACATGTGCAGCACAGTCCCTGAGTGGCTGAGGAGCGGTGGATACAGGGAAGACTAGAGGAAGAAGACTCTCTGGTGTCCGGTGGGAGTGGGAGGGGCGGGAGGCTATGGAGGAGGAAGAGGGACGTCCATTTGCTCTTGTTAAGTTTAAGAGGCCTAAGGGGCAGCTCAGGCTGTCAGACAGGGGACCGCGTGCACAGACAAGAGACTGAAGGGGCGCCCTGACTCACCTGCCATGGGATGCGGAGCTGATGCGCTGTCCTTTGCTTACAGGCTCACCAGGACCAAAGGGGAGCCCCGGCTTCCCGGGTATGCCGGGCCCTCCCGGGCAGCCTGGCCCGCGGGGCTCCATGGGGCCCATGGGGCCATCGCCTGACCTGTCCCACATTAAGCAAGGCCGGCGGGGCCCTGTGGTCAGTATCTTTGCAGAAATCCACTCGCTGGGGGCCATGTCCTTGTCCCATGCTTTTCCTCCCGTGAAACTAGATCCCTTTGTCTCGTAGGGCCCGCCAGGCGCACCCGGCAAAGATGGTTCTAAGGTAAGTCAGTCTCCAGCTGGGCAGCACCCAGCGGCTCGGGGCGCCCAGGACTGGCCATGGTTTATATATATATATATATTCTTTTTTTCCTTTTTTCTTTTTTCTTTCTTTTTTTCTTTTTTATATCATTGTTCAGTTTTAAAGAATAGTTGCTCCCCCCACCCCCTCAGGTGTGGTCCCCATAGAGTTTCCTTCCCCAAGGCCCCTGGGCACCATCACCTCAGTCCCCTGTGCTCCTCCCTCCCTCCCTCTGATCCCTCTCCCTCCTCCTCCCCTGCAGGATGGCTCTGGTTTATAATTGTCTGTTTTGCTTTGTTGTGTTTGTACTATTGTTATTTTTTTACACTGATGTCTTATTGGGTTCCCCTATATTCCTGCTATAAGGGAAACCATCCGATATTTTTCTTTTACCTTCTGGCTTATTTCACTGAGCATCATTCCTTCTAGCTCCATCCACGTTGCTGCGAATGGCATGAGTTTATCTTTTTTGAATGCTGAAATAGTCCATTGTGTGTATGTGCCACATCTTCTTGATCCATGGCTGGCCATGTTTTGCATGTGACAAATCAAAACACAATCTCCCTGTTCCCCCTCTGCCCCCGAGACTGGGCACACCTGAAAACATGTTTTCTTAAGATATCAAACAACCGTCATAACAAAACCAGCAGCAAAACCACTCCTGAGACAGAGTGCCCCCCCACGTATCAAAGGCACCTCTGTTGTAGTAGCCACGAGGCCCCCTCAGCCAGGAGCGTTGTTTGGTGGGGCTGTCCTGGTTCTGCTTCCAGGACAGAACCTTCGAGTTAAATACAGGAGAAGCTCATCTTCGTGCCCGTGGGTGGAGGGCTGCCTGTTACTAGCTCGTAAAGCAGCCAGTGTGAGCTACTTTTGGAAGCTTCTTAGTCACTCCACATGCTCTCTGGAAGGGCAGGCATTCCTCTCTTCAGCTCCGGTTTGGAAATAACTGGCTTGGGGGAAAATGGAAATGAGAGAGACTTAACCCCGGCAGTTCTGTTCAAATAAGGGCTTCCTTGAGTCCAGCTTCAAGGTGACTTTGGTTTCCGAGAGAAAATCCTGGCGGTTGAGTACAGGGAGATGGTAACCATAGCAGCAGCATCACCTTGGTCCAGAAAGCTAATCCTGTCTTTCTGCTTTTAGGGGGAGAGAGGAGCGCCTGGGCCCAGAGGGTCTCCAGTAAGTAGCACTCACTACCTCCCTCCCCAGAGGAAGGGTCTTGGGGTGGGGGAGCCCTGATACCCCACATGTTGGTCTAATTAGTCCAAGTCAACCCATCCAGCCACAGCTCAGCCCACCAGAACAGAACCCGGTGGTTGGGGAGAAGCCTAGAGTGACTGGTTGGGATTTATTTTGAAAATTTATTTTCTGCTACTTTTTCTGTGATGGCTAATCCTTACTTGGAAGCTCTCCATTTAGGATTCAAAACCCCCAGTCTACTCTGAGTGTTTCCAGGTAAATAAAACATATAAAGGGACTAGAAAGGACTGGATGGTGCTAATTCACAACCCTGAGTACCTGAGAAGTCAGCCACCCTATAGGTCTAGTTGGCACACGCTGTGCCCTCCAGAAGGGCAGTGCTGCTTGGGGCCACTGAGAAGTCAGCTGGCGCATGCGTGCTATCTGGGAGATTGCACATGAAAACCAGTAGTATCCAGAAGCTCACGACCACCATTGCTGATGCAGATGTCAGGGCATTTGGGGAGACAATGAGGTATGGTCTTAGAGGCAGAGAGGTCTGAGTTCCCATTTCAACGCTTCCACCTGTCCTCTGTGGCCTTGTCATTTCGCATCCATACCTGCTGTCCATTCCCTCGCCTGTGCAATGCCCAGGGGAATCTGAGCCGCCACACCTCGCATGGCTTTTGTGAGCATCAAGTGACATCACCCATCGCTCAGTGCTTTGCAGAGCTGGGCTGCTGTTCTAAAGCAGAAGCCACAGCAAATGGGGGCGAGAGAATGAAGGTTGGATGACGCACGAACAGCAGGCCCAGAATGCGACCCATTTTCTTCACCATGCCCACAAACCATTATGCAGAAATTTAGGCTTCGTCAGTACCATATAATGTTAAAAGGCGTTCCCATCATTGGAAAAATTAGGAAAGCTTTGTTTGAACATTTCTTGATTGATGAGAAAGGATGACTTTACCATATACCTTCAAGTTCATTTAGGATACAGTGAAAGCCAACATCCTTCTCAACATTTTAATAATTCCACTTTTAAAAAAGATAACCTATTTAAGCATTTGTTATGCTCCATGTCCTGTGCATGTATTAACTCACTTAACTGCTCACCTAGGAACCCCTAACCCCATTTTATGAATGAGGAGGCAGAAACCCAAAGAAAGTCAGTAACACCCAAAGCCACATGGCTCGGAAGCGGCAGAGCTAGGACTGAACCCCACTGTACCCCTTAACCACCCCTCCGTGTCCCATAGACATCTTCCAGGTTTGTTTGGAAAGGCCCCTGAGCGGGTGGTTGACTCTTCCATTCTACCGGATTTGCTGTAGCTGACAGCTAGGAGGAAAGAGCAGTGAATGTGTCAGGAAACCTCATACAGGAGGTGAAGGAATTAAGAGGCAAGAGCAAGGGCCCCCACCTGCTGTGCTGGGTCCTTCTGTGGCTGCATTCGGGACGCAGCGTTGCCCACCTCGTCCTTGCCAGACAGCAGTAGGACCCACTGGTCCCCCAGCCCAGGGCAGCCCATGCTCTGCAGCGGGCTGCGTGAGTAGCTTCTGGCATTGCTCCCTCCTGTGTGTGCGCAGGGGCCCCCCGGTTCCTTCGACTTCCTGCTGCTGATGCTGGCTGACATCCGCAACGACATCGCAGACCTGCAGGAGAAGGTGTTCGGGCACCGGACGCACTCTGTGGTGGAGGAGTTCCCGCTACCTCAGGAGTTCTCCAGCTACCCCGAGACTCTGGACTTCGCCTCTGGAGATGACTCCCCGAAAAGGACTGACACGCGAGACTTGGGCCGCCCTGGAGACTTTTATCCTTAGCACACCCCAGCATCTCCGTGCCAGACGAAGAGCGAGCTCACCTGCAGTTACACCAGTGAAGGGGTGGGGAAGGAACACCACTGTAGAAAAGATACATTTTTGTTATCTTTACTCATTCCCTGCTTTCTCCCTACCTCCTTCTTCCAAATACTATATTTCGAGTCCCCTGCTAGACCAGCCAGGGCCCAGGTTGGAGGTGAGAGAGCAGGTTGGCGAGGACTCCATTGGGGCTTGTCTTTTTATTTTTTCAGGAACTTCTGGATGTCTGAGGGAAGTGCTCTCTCAATGTCTTAAAATTTGGCAGAATATCAAAAAGAGAAAATGGCAAGATGTGCGCTAAGAAAATGAGTTTGCTTATAGAAAACAACAATAACACACATCCCCAAAATGGAATGCGAGGAAGTATGTTGACCTTGGTGGATAGCTCTTTTTTCCTTGGCAGTCTAATAGGTTTTAAATAGTCTATCCTCTTATGCAATCTTGTTTCCTAGTTTTAATTAAAGAAAGGAGAGGAATGGATATTAGAGAAAATGGAGGAAAATGATGGTCCCATATTTACTGACATCTAGGTCGCCACACTTAAAAACTCAAATCTGACTGTTAAAGGACCCTGCCACGCTTGCCTCGGAGTGTCCGGTCTGGAGAAGAAGGTGACTCTGGCTATTATAGTAATAAACCCTGTTTTCAAGAAGTGGGTGGGTGAAGTGCCCTGATTCGCTTTAGAGCAGTGGGCTGCTGGTTGGCCTGTTGGTTTAGAGAGTGGGTTTGCGCAGTAAGTCGCAGAGTACATGTTCAGTAAAGGCACTGACCATTGGGCAGAGGCGCAGAATCCCCTGGCTCTGAGCAGGTGCCCCAGAAGTACTGTTGGGCCAGGTTCTAGGCTGAAGCGAGGCACAGTGGGGCCCATGCCTGGAAGGGGGTTGCTGGCTTGGACTGTTGGCAAGGGTGGAAGATGAACCTTGGGCAGGGGTCCCACGCATGCCTTAGCAGCAAGTAAACTTGCTGTGCTTGGGGATTAGAAGTCCTTGTCTGGGCCAGAGTTGCTGGGAACAGAGAACAGTACACATTGCAAGTTCTCTTGGGTGGGAAGGAAAAAACAGAAGTTTTTCTTGTTTGGCAGAAATTTCTTTCCTACGATTCCCATTTTTCCTTGATTTGCTTAAGGTAGTCCAATTCCAGTTCCTTCAGGCCTTCCCCTTGATTTCCCTTCCTCAGCAAATGGGAGCAGCAGTTCTGAGAGGGGTCATATTTCCAAACCTGCCCCGAGGTCCGACTTATTTTTCAAGAAGGCAGTGTTTTATTCTGCATTTGTGTCTTTGATTCTGATCCAGTGTAGAAAGAAAGGCAAACTGTCATGGGCTGGCTGAGAGCAGTGTCAGAGAACTTGACAAGTTTAAGAACTACATGGAAATTATGAGCCAGTCACCACAGAGTGCCCTCAAGCCTAGTTTCCTAAACTCGAAGGACTCAATCACCTTCAAAGAAGGACTCAATCACCTTCAAAGAGGGACTCAATCACCTTCAAAGAAAACTCCAAACTCAGCCCTGTATCTCCAGAGTGCTCCTCGCTCTTCTATCCACCCTCTGGGTGCCAGAGGGAGCATCTTCCCAAAAGGATCTTCTCTGGATCCACAGAAGCAGGGGCCCCAGAGACCAGCAGAAGCATCTGCCCCTTTGAAGACAGTGGGGAGCCCTTGGTCTGCATGGCAGTGTGCAGGGGCCTTCACTTACCCGCTAGGAGGCCTTGCTTGCTGTGTTGAGCCTCACAAATGACCGTCCTCACAGCTCATGTTCGTGTATGTTGGGGTTCCCCTCCCCCAGCCTTCAGTTTCCCCCTGTATTTCTGGGAGATTTCTTTTTCCTTTCCCATCTCCTTTTAGTCTGTGCCATTTAGCTCTCCTCCCGGGACAGCTTGTTTGAAGAACACCGCGGTGGGGATGTGGAGGCTGGGATCCGCGCTTTCTTTTCCTTTTTTTTTTTTAAGACCTGACTCTGGAGGCTGATCTCAAGTGAAGACAGCCTTCCTTCCCTGGTTCCCATCACCTTAGACATGCAGGACTTCTGTCTGTCAACTGCGGCTGAGCTTTTCACAAACATTCTTATTCATGCGAAATCCCCAGGAACTGTCCATCAAACACCATCAAAGTATAAAGGCTGGACACAAACACCTTCTCAGTGTTCCTTTGCTAGCATCTTCCATGTCTTCAGAACCTGATCTTCACAGCAGAGTGCCTTCCCAACCAGGGTTCACAAGGAGACCGACGCTGCAGCCGCTGGTTCCCATCTGGAACACTCGACGTGCAGAACAGCATTGAAAGGGTATAGAGGGGTGAACTCTACAGGAAATGAGGCGCGGGCTCTATGAGAAATGATCGGGACCCTCTTTGATTTTTTTATAAAGGAGAAACTTTATTACCTTTTCGTAACGGTGAATTATGTTTAGAAACGTAATCATCTGTAGTGTCAAATGCCCATCAAATGCAAGCAAGCAGTAGGCTTGGCCATAGACTGGGATCTTATATTATGAGTGCACTGAAGATCACCGCAGCTGGGATTCCTGAGACTCTTCTAGACTATATTCCCCAGCAAAATGCACAATAGCCTGTATTGTATAATCTCAATTTGCTGGATCAGAGCAACGTGTAAAATAATTATTCATCCTTGATTTTCAAAGCTTGAACAACTGCTACGGCACCAGGTGTGATCTCTATGTGTCCAAATTATATTTTTCATAGAGAAGTCATACTGAGGCACTGTTGCTTCTAATCTATCTTTTGTTGTGGCTAAACAACAAAACTCCACTGCCGAGACAGGATTTCTCAAAACTAAATGGAAGAGCCATTGTGGGGGAGGGAATTTTGCTACAGTTATATTAAGCTATTTCTCATTTCATGGAAAAATCTTTGTATAGCTCCTCAACCTTCCCACAGAAATGTTGACTTCAATTTTTTGCCCCCTGGTACACTAAGACTTAGAATCAGATTTAATAGCTTGCTTTAAAGAATAGGAAAATCCTAAGGGATCTTGCCAGAGAAAGAAATGATAAGCCTTATTATGGCAAAGGAAGTGGAGGGTACAACGGAGAACCTTCCTTCCCAAGCCTCCTGTGTTCATTCGAACACCTGCCAGAGAATGACTTGACCTGCTGTATAAACTCAGGCAGGTGTGTCCATAGCCAAGTGGTGTATAAGCTCACGGTGATGTGGGGTGGAATACCCCCCAAATACCAGGCAAAGGACCTCCTTTCCAGAGTTCGTGACTACTCTGCCTGAGGGCCCAGCCCTCATTTGAGAGCAAATCCCTCTCATACTTTAGACGCTGTTCCCACCTCTCCCCACCCACCTCTGCCCCCACCCACAGCCTGTGGCAGAGAGACAGCAGCCTCCTTGTGCAGAAACTTAACACCTTTCAGATAACCCTCCTGAAAAGGAAATTTACTTGCAGGAATCTAGGCCAAACGACTAGTAGAATAAAGCCATCTAAAGTTATTAATAATGAGTTCAGGGAAATAGATGACATTTTTCCTGGCACTGTCAGCCTGTCGGTTTCACAACAAATCAAAAAATAATTTTCCATTTGAAAACAAAAAACAAAAAACCATGACCGTAATTGTGAAAGCATAAAATCTTGGACTCTATGTACTTCTTCAGCAAATGTTACTGCTTTAGGGAAATCATTGAAAAAGATCCTTTTACCCCTACCCCAGGGACCCCAGCATTCTTTATTAGCTCCCCAAAGCAAGCGCCCTGAGCAAGTTCACGGGAGCCCTGACCTATTTCCCAGTGTGTAGGCATGTGCTCCGGTAGCTGTTGTTGGTTATTTATAACAGGTCCATGCAGCCGTGAGCTGGCATTCCAGCAGCTGTGGATGTGAAACTGTGGAGTGTGCTGGTAAGATGATACATGCTTAATAACAAAGTTATTTTTCTTATGTGATTGTGCTGTGTTTTGTCCTTCCTGGCAGTCCTGTGGAATGAGTGGTCTTTTTGCAAGATAAACACAGGGGAGTTGCTCTCCAGCGCTGGGCCCTGCTGGAGCTCTCCCCCAGGTCTAAGTATGGTCCAGATTTTGGAATCTGAAGACCTAGACCTTGAATCTGACCTCAAAGGCCCCAATCCCCAGCTGGGGGATCCTCTGGGACTCCCAGGGTGGGGTTTTCAAACCAGAGACTCTGGGGCTCATTGGAGAAACCTTATGTTGTGGTGGGGGGCCGGGGGTCTGAGAGTTTTAGCTGCCCCTGGCTACATGGGAACAACTAAGTTTTCTCTTGGTTTTAGATTACAATTAAATTCACATGAAGTTTCTTCAAGCAGGGAAGAAAGTTGACTGCCTAAAATAAAAATAACAAAGGTTAAAATAAATAGACTGGGAAGGCTAGAGCCCGATGAGCTGGTAACAGGTCCTGTGTGTGGAGCGAAGAGAAAGGGGATTTTCATCAGTTGGGCCATATGGAGGGTGAGCAAGCTATAAACAAAGGAAAACAGTGACTTCTAAGAGATGCTTAGCATCCCTCCCACATCCTGAAGTTAACCTGCAGTTATTCATCTCCCTTGCGCTGAGCAGTCATTTATGAAATGCTTGCTTTAAGCTGCACACTCCGCCTTGCACGGCAGACACAATGGGGAGCGAGAAGTCATAATTCCTGTCCTGGAGATTCTTGGCAACACAGACAAGGATCCTAACAAGCCAAATAAATTAATCACACAAATATGCAATTACAAACTGCGATAAGTGTTAGGAAGGAAAAATGCTACAAGAGCCAGTAGCAGCTCGAGCCAGCAGGAGCCACCATTTGCGCCGCTGTGTTCCCTCCCCAAGTGTGTCTCTGTCTCTCCCTCTCTGTCTCTGTCTCTCTTCCCACTGTCGCCTTCCCCCAGGCGCCACACACACGAACACATGACCTCCAGCCCTCGCGCACTAAACTTCCATGAATTCTCTGGGTGAAACAGCAGGGGTGGGAATCTCGGAGACCACGTCATACATTATTTTTCCAGCCTTCTCAATGTAAAAAGCAGCCCACAGGACCCAGTGCTGGGGGACAGCCCGCGCTGCCCCCGATGTCCCATTTGAATGGCTGTTGGGTCACCTGCTTTTTCCCAACCAAGCACTGAAGCTTTGCAAACTCTTGTGCTCTTGACTCCCCTCACCCCTGACTCATGTCAAGGGATCGGTGACGGGAGGCCGAGCCGCAACCTGCACACAGCCCTCAAGGAAAAGGCAATTCAGGCAGCAGTTCAGGACCCAGTTCTGGGGAGCCGTTGAAGATGTCAGGAAGAGGCTTTGTTTCCTGGGCTGGCATGGGAATCGCCACACTGGGAGGCTTAAACAGCAGCGATTTGTTTTCTCTCAGTCCTGGAGGGGGAAGTCGGAGAGGTGTCAGGTGCCAGTGTCTCTGGAGGCTCGGTGAGCAACCACCCAGGTCTCTCTCCCATTCTGGTGGTTTCCAGTGACGTTACGTGCTTTCAGCCTCACCTGCCATTCTACCTGTGTTCTCTGTTTCTCTATGTCTTTACCCGGGGATCTCCTTCATGGGTATTCTGTCTCTGTTTCCTCTGCTTGTAAAGACACTGCTCACTGGGTGAGGGCCACCAGTAATCCAGTATGACCTCAGCAATTTTACTGGTAAAGACACCATTTCCAAATAAGGTCACATTCTGAGGTTCCAGGTAAATGTGAATTTGGGTAAGATACTTTTCAATTCAGCACAGGGAGGATATTTTCTCCCTATCCATTAATTTGTCCTAGTCTGTTTGTTTCCTTTCATAGTATGTTTTCCAATCTGAAATTCTTGCTCACTTTAATCAATAAAAGCTTATTGAGGGCCAAGGATGGAGTACTGAAGAGTGTAAAATCCCTATTCTAATGAAGTATGCCTTCTAGTTTGGGAAAATAGACATATATTAGGAGGTTTCTCCAGAACAACAAATAGGATGTATATATGTATAGATAAATATAAAGATATAGGTGTTTATATATTTGTATATACAGAAAATTTATGTAAAGGAGTTGTCGTGATTGTAGAGGTTGGCAAGTTCAAAATATGTGGGTAGGTAAACAGACTAAGAATTGATGTTGCGATCTGAGCTCACTGTCAGTCTGCTGGCAGAATCCCTCCTTTAGAATACATCATTGTTTTTTATTAAGAACATCAACTGATTGGATAAAACTACACACATGAAGGGCAATCTGCTTTACAAGAAGTCTATAGATTTAAATGTTAATTGAAGCTAAAAAACACCTTCACAGAAACATCTAGAATAATGTTTGACCAAATATCCAGGTATTGTGACCTAGGCAAGTTGACACATAAAATTAACCATCATTTTATATATATATATCGGTGTTAAAGAGAGCTATGGGGAAAAAAATTAGGGTAAAGGAATAGAGGTTAGAGGAGGGTATGAATATTTTATGTAGAATCTTCTGGAAAGGACTCACCAACAAAGGCACCTGAATGAGGTCATGTGGAGTTTGCTACTTTTTTTATAAAGTGTAGTTTCCCTGGAAAATGGTACATCCTAAGATAATATCAAATAAAACTTGTATTAATACAATAGCCTATAGGAATTAAGCTGATGGCCAGCTTTTCCCTGGCGGGAAGATGGGCACACAGCAAATGGGCTTTGCCCACGACCCCTCCCACATGGGCCTGGCCTGACATAGTTTGCTAATAATTTGGAAACTGGGAGCACAGAAATGAAGTCCCCGCCGGGCTACAACTCTGCAGAGCTTGGATCACTGCCTGCTCTGCACGATGGGGTGTCTTCCCCAGCATCCCCTGGCCATTTGGGGACTCCTGATTCTCACCCACTGCTGGCAAGAGGGTCACTGGCATTTTGAATTCTTACTTCTCCTCTAGCCTATTTTTTTCAAGATCTTTTATCCTTGTCAGCCTGTGACCACACTGGCGTGGATGCTGGGTGGGGAAATGATTAAAGCGGAAGGAACGCTGTATCGTGTTTTGCTTTACAAGTAGTTGTTATGATATATGTGGATACAACTGTGTCCAAAGCCAAGTTTGGTTGCTTTTGGTGGTTTTAACTGCCACCCATGGGCGTTCTTGGCTCCCTCTGCCTTGCCTGTCTGCCCAACACGGTAATTGTGCTGGATCTGCCCCAGGAAGCCCGGAATTGGCTGTCAAGCCTTTTACCCCCAGCGGTCTGGAAGAGCATGGCATCTTGTCACACCGCCCTCCTGCCATGTGACCGGGAGACCGTGTCATGTGGAACACTCCTCCATGCTCCGATGGGGTCGTTCATTTACAGTGCAGGAAAAGACGCAGCCAAATCCAGCCGAGCATGTATGTGACTGGAGAGAGGCTTTGTGGGCCGTTTGCCTTCTGAAAACAATCTGGAAAAGAAAAAGGTGCTACAAATTGAATTAGGCTCAGATTATTCAGAAAGGAAATAGCAGCTGAAAAACATTAAAAAAGAGGTTCCTTCTAAACAGCCTTCCGAGGACAGCAGCCAGTGTGCCTGCCTTCCAGCGCTTATGCTGTGGCCTTGTTGGCTATTGAGCTCAAGCCACCTGCCAGACAGACACCCGTTTAATAGAAAAACTCGTGCAAGGAGGGACAAAAGCCTCTGGAGTGATAGGGTCTGATTTGGGTGTTTCAAATAAATGAAGTGAGCCCCAGGGAACTGGCTCTTCCAGCCACACAGGCCTCATTCTACCAACAATCAAATCTATGATCGGTACCTGCACCTTCCTCTGCTGGCTCCACTGGTTCCTGGCCTTGATGTTCCGTGGTCCCTGGTCAGATGGGACTAGAGGGCTGTGGTGACCCCCCCCCCACACACACACCCATTTTACAGAGTGGTACACCAACACCTCATGGCCGTCCTTCCTCAGGCAATTCAGTTTCTCGCTTGTGTTTTACTTTATTCCAAAAGCCCCCGCTGCACACCAGGGAATCTGGTTACTGTTCTCAGGGGCGAGTTGTCCCAGAGTTTATTGGTGCCAAAGTGGAGGTGGTGAGGATCTCAACTGCACAGAAAAGCCTCCTCTGAGGAGTAAACCACCCTCTGTGGGAATGGGCACTTGGTGACAGACAACCTGAAATCCCAGCCCCCCGAGTCTGCCTCAAGTCCTCATCACAGATGTCCCTTCTTGCAAACATTCACAGTCACAGTTTTCAGTGGCCAGAGCCGTTTATCATTTACCAGCCGGTACTTGGAGATGTTACATGCTCGACTCCAAGCCATGTTAAGGGACTTTGGAAGATGGAATGAGGAAAACCCAGAATTAATCTCAGAGCTGAACTCAGGCTGGTTCCCAGAGTAGGAGGGTGGAATCATAAGAGAAATCGAGACAACCCATGAGCTGTGTCCTCTCAACCGCATCTTCTCTTCCAGGACCATGAATGCCTTCTCCACTCACCCTCATCATGAATTTGGGGGGCTCCTGTGTTACTTATATTACTAACAAGATGGCCCCATGTCATACTAGGGGAACATAACGGAAGGGGTTCAGGCTTATTTGGAACAATCTGGACCAGGCTGGGCCAGGGGCTACTCTTATTGGCTTTAGGGACCAGTCCTTGCTTTCCCCAAATGGAGTGTGGCAGCCTTATAGGAAGGTATTTGTCCCAATCTCTCACCCATTCTTAGCCATACATTTTTTGAGGACAAAAATTAGCCATGTTCATAGCTGCTAGAGAAGTACTTGGTGCACAGTAAAACCTCAGAAAATGTTGATAGAAAACAATCATTAGCTCAGGATACAGCCCCCATCCGTTCAATTATTCAACAAATATGTGTTGGCTGTCCCCTAGGGGACTTACGATGTGTGAGCACTGGAAATAGAACAACCCAGCTCTGACGGATCTCTATAGGATTATGGGATTATAGTCTAGTGAAGGAAGTCTCAGGCCAGCGGCCATAAGTACTGAAGCCTTGCCCATTTTTTTCCCCTGGACCCTCAGAACCGGCCCCTGGTCCTTTCCAAACAGGCAGGACCAGCCCTAGCCTCAGCTCCCACTGGAGTCAGCAGTCTTAAGTTCAAGGTAAAAGTGTTTTAAGTGAACGGACCTGGTCCTATATCCCAAAGGTAACCAGAAAGTTATTCAGTTATGATTTCATGAGCCCCAACCAAAAAAGATGATTCCGCAGAAGTTGAAAAGCACTGTCTCTCCCCAGCGGGTGTAGACCTCCCTCTCGACCAGCTACAGCAAAGATGCGTTTTCTTTCTTTCTTTTCTTTTTTTTTTTTTTTTGATTTAGGAGGAGGGTCTCTGCACAGCCAGATTTTTTTTTTTTAGATTTATTTATTTATATAAGCACCAGGTACAGTCAGAAGCACGGGAGGGCAAGAGAATTCACCACAGCCAGAGCGGGGAACAGAACAGAACAGTGACGAAGTACACTGCTGAGGGGAGCAGCGGGCGCAGCCCTAGAGGTCTGTCGCCCCATGTGGGATCCTCACCGGCGGCTGGGGATCGAACCGGCGCTACAGAGGCTGCGGGCAGCTTCGCAGCCCAGAGCTCAACCGCTACTCCACCAGGGGAGGCCCAGAGATACGTTTTCACGAGCATTTTCAAGTCCACTTTATGGCTCGGATTTGGCGTCAGTTGTTTTTGTGAGGGAACCACCTGTTTATAAATCTTAAGTCGTGGGTCTAAACGCTCGACGCCTGGGGAGATGCGGGGTCCTCCTGCTGAACTCTCTTCTTAGGGTTCAGAAGACAGACGTGGCTGCCACTGCCATTTGGTGTCTCAGCGAACGTCGCCCTAGAAATGCATGTGGGAAAATCCATATATAGGCAAGGATTCCTTCCAATGCATGGATGTGTACCCTAAGTTAGAGCACACAGCCAGCATCCACGGCGTGGGGGGGGTGGGCAGAGGGCTAGGGAGGTACCTTTCTCTTAAGAAAAGCTCTGAGCCTCCCTTTCTAGAATCATCACCATTTTAGAGAATTGGTTCTGTCCTGAGGAAATTGGTTCTGTCCTGATTTCAAAGTGAAATCAAATTTCACTTTGAAGTGAAATCCCATCTCTGTGGTTTTGATTCTTTGTTTTCATTCCTTCCATCTGTGAAAGAAGCTGAATTGTACGCCCTTTAATGCCATTCCTGAGTGAGTCCCCCACCCCCAAATCCCTAACAGACTCATCAGTTATTTGGGGATTTGTCACAGTCATTTCCAGACCACCCCCTTGGCCACAGGCAAAAATCACTAAGATTCGAGTCAAACATTTTATTTTTTTTATTTTGTATTGAGCTAATATTGGTTTACGACACTGTTGATTCAGGGGGAAGGGTTCACACCTCCTCAGATACACATTGCCACGCTAAACCCACACCAGGCGGCCCACGTGCTTCACCACAGACCACTGAGACCCTCCGCTTTGTTCCCACCCTGAACCCCTCTCTCGTAGCCTCAATTCTGCAGTCAGATTTCCAGGCTGTTTTGGTTCGGTTATGTCAGTTCCTTTGTTTTATTTTGCTGTGTTCCACATGAGTGAAATCATTTGGTATTTGTACTTGATTCCTTTTTGTATTGTTCTTCTCTTTATCACCAGAAAAGTATAACCAGGGCCTCCCCAGTGGCACAGCGGGTTGAGCGCAGTGCTGTGAAGCTGTCCACAGCCTCTGCAGCGCAAGTTCAATTCCCGGCCAGCCAGGGAGATACCCACATGATGCAGCAGACCTCTCCTGACTCGCTGGCTGCTCCCCTCAGCAGTGTCTTCAGTCAGTCTGCCTGTTCTGTTCCCCGCTCTGTCTCTGGTGAATTCTCACACCCTCCCGTGCCTCTGGACTGTACCCCAGTTCTTGTGTGAATGAGTAAGTCTTTAAAAAAAAAAAAGTATAACCAGACAAAAATAACTGACATGGGTCAAAGTTCTCTACTCAAAAGTGACAATCCCACGGATGCATGTCATTTTAAAAAGTAGGGAGACAACAAAAACAATCTTAGACTCCTGACAAATACAGTGGTTACCAGGGGCAGTAGAGGAGGACATGGACCTGGTGGTGCTAAGGGCACTAGAACGTTGGTGGTGGGTGAGGTGAGGCGTAGTCACACATCAAGGTAAAGCTGTACCCTCGAAACTTACATAACTTTGCAAGTCAATAAAAAATTAATGAAATAATATTTATAAATATATTTTAATGTCTAATAATCCAAAAAGATTAAAAAGCAGTGAGAGTAGGAGGAGGAAAATTCCAGCAGATTCTGCAGAGGCAGGAACAAGAAGGAAGCAGTAGGCTTGCGAGGGGAAAGAGAAGGTCTAGCTGGGCTATTGTGAGAGAGGTGGGAGGGAAGGGATAAAAACAACTTTTTTTTTAAAGATTTATTTATTTTTATATAAGCGCTGGGGTACAGGCCAGAAGCGCAGGAGGGTGAGAGGATTCACCAGAAGCAGAGCAGGGAGCAGAACAGGCAGATGACAGAGATACATTGCTGAGCGGAGCAGCAGGCGAGACAGAGAGGTCTACCACGCCATGTGGGTATCTCCCCAGCCAGCCAGGAATCGAACCTGCACTGCAGAGGCTGCGGACAGATGCAGAGGCTGCTCAACCCGCTGCACCACCGGGGAGACCCCAAAAACAACTCTTGTTAAAAGAGCAGAGTTATTGGGGAACTATGTTTTGGCAGAAGCAAACCCTAATCCTCTCTGTTATTTGCACCACTCAGAAAATGAATTCATGTGTCAAGATTTTATATGTGTCAAATTTCTTGAGTTGATTATAGTCAGATCTGATGGTTTGAACAATTTCAAACTTTTTTTTCATGTATCAGGGAAAAAAATGGATTTGAATTGTTCCAAATGTATACCAGCCTCCCACCAGTGGATGCAGTGCAAGTTCTGCTAAATATCTTCTTTCTGTAAACATACAACCCCTGCCAGGTTTATATTTTGTTTCATTTTCATTTCTATCATATCTTGTGCTATTTTAAGATGAGGAATATTTGGGAGATTGATTCAATAATAAACTAGATTGGTCACATTAAACCAGCCATTTAAAATTCTGATCTCTTTCCAAGGAGAAGTTACATATTCATTCACACAAGAACTGGGATACAGGCCAGAGGCACGGGAAGGTGTGAGAATTCACCAGAGACAGAGCGGGGAACAGAACAGTTCCCCATTTATCTTATACCAACAGGAGTTCCATTTCCAGGAAAATTTTGGAGTAGATATTCAGAAAAACCACCCTTTTTGTGAGCTTTCACGTGATGGACAAAAATTTTGACACTTTTTTTTAAAATGCCTGATTGACCTAGTGGGAAACTAAGGGAATTATCTGAAGTCAGACAAATCCAGAAAGGCAGGTAGGAATGTGAGTTGGCTTTTCTTCACAAGTATCTAGAAGTTCCTGGTCACCTGGAAACGGCATTTTAATGAATCATACACATATACTGGGAAAGTCTTGGGGTATTATGGGCGCAGCCCCCCAGAAGGAAACCCCCCATTCATATACTGCATATCTAACCCCTGATGCATCAGTATGTAATCTTATTTGGAAATAGGGCCATTGCAGATGTAACTAATGAGGTATTTATGTGGGCCCTACTCTGTATAACCCCTGTCTCTGCATAAAGGAGAAATTTGGATGCAGACACACAGATTTTTAGGGACACTCATAAGGAAGGTGGAAGTGGGGTACAGTGTCTACAAGTCATTGATCACCAGAACCTAGGAGTGTAGCATAAAACACTTTCTCCCTCTGCCGCCAGAAGGAACCAACCTGCAGATGTCTTTATTTTGTAACTTCTGCTTCCAGAATTGGGAGGCAATAAGTCTCAGCTGTTTAAGCCCCACCCCTCAGCCTGTGGTATTTGTTACAGCAGGCGCTAGCAGACATAGATGAGAGGTGGATTGGATGCCCAAACCCTGGACATGCAAAGTGCAGCCTGCTTAGTGGGTGCATGAGGGGGAGAATGCACCCATGGAGATGCCAGTCTAGACACAAGCTCCACAAGCCTGACTTCAAACTATTAATACTTCTGTGACCTTGAGGGACCCTGAGAGGCAAAAAAAAAAAAAAAAAAAAAAAAAGATCCTGAGTTGATAGTGCTTGCAGGCACCTGCAGACACAAAAATCCCTCTGGATGAAATTACTTTCAACCCAGACCTCAAAGAAATCTCATAGATACTTTCTAAGAAGGATGAATCCCTGGTCAGAAATCATTAAACACACAAGAAAACATGAGTGAGGGTTGATGGAAACAGTGAAGTGTTGAAAGGGTGCTGTGAAGAACACAGCTATGGAACTTTCGCACATTTGGGATAATTTAAGAAAAAAGACAGTGACTTCACAACCATCTTCCCTGGCTCCAGCCTGTCTGCAGGAATCTATTGTCTGAAGGTAAAGTTAGCCTTTTTGTATTTTTAAGGGCTGGAACGGGCACAGTGCAGGTTTTCTGATCCCATGCAGACCCGGTGAAGGAGGAGTCAGAGTCCTCAGTGGCTTTTTGCAGGTCTTTTTGTTGGGATTTATCCAGTATACAGCAGGTAAGGGTGCTGGGGGGCCGGAAGGCTGGCAGGCCTCCCAGCCCCCAGCAAGTCTTCATTCTATCTGGGCTCTCCAGCCTTCTCTCAGCTTCTGCTTCTCTTGCTTCTCTCTCGGCTTCTCTTTTGGCTTCTCCTGCTTCTTTCTCAGCTTCTGCTGGCGTCTCCGTGATGCAGCCCTTAAAAGCCCAGTCTCAGCCCAGGTGAATCCCATCTACCTATACCACACCCTACTCCAGGTGCCCGCCATCAGGCATGCACTCAGGACCGCAAGGATCCATCATTTATCCTGATGGCGGGAGGGCAGAAAAGCCTGACATTTTTCCTTACCCTACAATATTAAAAAAAAAAAAAAAAAAAAGGTTTAACAATAGGTCCCCAGCATTTGCATCTTTATAGTATGTTCATTAGCAAGGAAAAGGGGAGGGGGAGAGAGTAGGGGAGGGATCAGAGTGAGGGAGGGAAGAAGGGAGGAGCACAGGGGACTGAGGTGATGGTGCATGGGTGCCCTGGGGAAGGAAACTCTATGGAGACTACACCTGAGGGGGTGGGGGAAGCAACTATTGTTTAAAAATGAACAATGATGTAAAAAATAAATAACTTTTAAAAATCCTACATTGCCTTCCTCTAGTATAGGTGTATCTTTGCGTCAGGACAGCTTAGAATTAGAAACCCTTCCTGTCAAGATTACAGTGATGGAATGACTATTCCTATCTACAGAAACAAAATTCCTATCTATAGAAAAAAAACTTGTGTTTATGGGACTGGACATCTCGCTTTATAAACTTTGCTTTATCATTGAGACTTTACTTTCAGTTAACAATACACTTCTATATATTATTAAATGTACTTATAAACTTGCCAATGTGCAGAATGCTAGAGTAACATGGTTCACACTTGTTTACTATGTTCTCCCTAGGAATTAAGGAGTCTAAATATTGATCATTCTAAATTAAAATTACTAGGATTAAGGGAAACATTTCTATGCAAGGAATATAAAACATTTTTGGTAAGAAGAAGGGCATTGAGAATAAGAAGAGGAACATGAGACCATCAAATTTCATCAGGGAAATATGGAGAAGAACAAAACAAAGCCTTGTGTAAATGAAGAGCGAAATGAATTACAGAGAAACTGGTATAAGGAAAATCATATCCCCATTTCACAGATGAGGAAACTGAGACACACTTTCTTCCTCTATTTGTACCGTGTAAAGCAAAGTATCTCCTCACTGGAAAATGTGAGCGTGGCAGTCAATCCAGAATGGATATAGTAGCACTGTGGTCCTTGTTCATGGCTGTGATATTATTCTGTCCTTATTTGTCCAATTTCAACTCTCCACTAATGGAGGCCTTAGAACCAGGCAGAATTCTGTCATTTAGT